GGATTTGGCGAGTTCGTCGACGTCGTAGAAGGACTCCATCATGCCGTCGGTGCCCTCCGAGATGACGTCTTCCAGTTCGGGCAGCTGACTAGTTCACTTTGAGAGCAGCTGAAGCGATGTTAATTGGCCATAACCACCTCTTTCATGTTTTTTTAGTTGTGTTGAAGATCTGAAAGTGCTGATTGTCGGTCCGCGAGAAGTCAGTCTTCGTTGGCGTCTCGGTGACGAAGCGATCGACGCTCTGGAGGCTCTCTGCGGTCGAACCGGACCTCGCGCGGGAATGATGGACAGCGGCTATGGAGACTCCACAGTACCCAGCATTCCAGTGACCGAGGAACTGCGTCAATCAGTGCGCTACTCAGTGGAGCGACGAGACGCCTTCTCTTCTGACTGGTACACCGTCGCCGACAACATCCACGGCGACCTCACTGGCAAGGTCAAGGTGCACAATTGTCCCAAACAGATGTACGGCAATGAGTACCGTGTGACGGCTTGGCTTAACAACCAACCTTGTGCTCCAAGTCGACCTGCGCGGATTAATATAAAAACAGGTGGGTCCTAATCCTCTCTGCTAATGTTGACGATGATCAAATTTTTCTAAACGGTGGTGGTGGTAGTAGTAGTGGTAGTGGTGGTAGTAGTAGTAGTAATGGTCGTAGTGGTAGCAGTGTTAGTAGTAGTAGTAGTGGTAGTAGTAGTAGTAGTATCAGTAGTAGTAGTGGTGGTAGTATTGGTAGTGGTAGTAGTAGTGGTGGTGGTAGTAGTAGTGGTGGTAGTAGTAGTAGTGGTGGTGGTAGTAGTAGTAGTAGTAGTAGTGGAAGTAGTAGTTGTAGTGGTAGTAGTGGTGGTAGCAGTAGTGGTGGTGGTGTTAGTAGTAGTGGTAGTAGTAGTGGTTGTAGTGGTAGTAGTAGTGGTAGCAGTAGTAGTAGTAGTGGTAGTAGTGGTGGTGGTGGTAGTAGTAGTAGTAGTAGTAGTGGACGTAGTAGTTGTAGTGGTAGTAGTAGTGGTAGCAGTAGTAGTAGTAGTGGTGGTGGTAGTAGTAGTGGTAGTAGCAGTAGTAGTAGTAGTAGTAGTGGTGGTGGTATGCACACAGGGTCTAATGAGCAGGCGGTCGTAGTGCGTGACTGGCACGCCGTGAAAAGGGGGTGATGGTAAATGCAGGGGGGTAATGAACCAGCAGCCTCACGTGACTGACGGGCACGCCGTGAAAAGGGGGAACGTATGTTGGAAGCTGCGACGACTGGGTTATTGGACGTGAATCAACAGGATTCACTACACATTAATTAATTAGCCCGAAACTGGCTTCTTCAAAACAATTTCGCTAAAACGTGGCTTTTTTTCTCAGCTGAACTGGCTCCCGATCTGTCGTGCCAGAAGGTCAACGTGGACGTCAGCAATGTGGATGAATATCGCATTTCCTATCCCGAGGACAAACTGGAAAGCTTCTTTGCCGACCACATTCTTGCTTCCACACTGCCACAGAGTCTAGAAGAGGATCTTACCTTCGACGTTGAGGTATGTCAAATTTGTGCTTGGAAGGCAAGAATTGAGTTCTGATTTGGAATGCTTCGGATTCCCGGAAAAAGTCCTGAAATGCCGTTTCGACAAATCGATGGTGGTTTGGGCTTTTAGGCGATGAAAGGCAACTCGAAAGAATGGGAAAAGATCGCCACTGGATTGCCGTCTCCTTCATTCGCTTGGACCAACGTGAACCCCCTCCTGCCGTACACTTTCCGAATTGTAGGAAGAAATCAGTTTGGCGTGGGTCAGCCATCCCGCATGACTCATGTCGATGCTCAAGTCGGTAAGTCAAGGCAGTTTTCCGAGGCAGCGTTGTGGAGTTCCAGCTGACCGATTCCTTGTATTCCGGCAGTGATACCTGATCTGTCCTTCGTTGTTCCAACGGTGCGTGAGCCATCCGGTGTTCTGGAAGGCAGAGAGCCCGCTGAGCTGCGCTGGCAGACGCCCAGGATCTACAGCCTCACCGAAACGTTCACACCCTTCACCTACGAGGTCCAGATCCGTCCTGTGGGTCTTGGCGAGGCCTCCAACGAGTGGAAGGTATTCAAGGAAGGTCTCAAGCAGCCGCGTTGTTCTCTGGAAGGCCTAGATCCGGGACTAGAGTACGCTCTCCGTGTGGTCGCTGTGACCAACTTCGGCAGGGGTGAGCCAAGCCAACCAACGCGCAAGAGAAGAGGTCGAGGAAATCGTGAGTTTCGATTGTTTCAAACGGATTCGTGGTGTTATCTGAAATATTAAGATAACAACGCTATTTTTGTCTTTTTAGGTTCCCTCCAATCGGCTAGCAGTTGGGGAAGTTTGACAAGCCCTCATGACTCAGGTAAGGCTGTGAGTAAAAATCAGCAAGGCCGTGGGGTCAAGGAAGAGTTTAAACCAATCACAAACAGCGAAAGACGTTCATGGGTCACGTGAGTACATCTCATACGAGAGAAGCGGTAGCAGCTGAATTTAGCAGAGGGCTGTTTGCGCTACGCTACGCAAGAACTGACTTTTCGTAATCACCTGATATTTTAGCTAGAAGACAATTAGATGTAATCTTGAATTGACCTCAAAATATGGCCTTATGCATCGCCTCTATTGATTATCCATGCTAACCGCTGTAATAATTTCTACTGGCAGACGAATTATGAATATTTATAAACAAGCGCGATCGCATTTGCGCCAAAAGTTGGAAAAAGGGCTCTACTTTTCCCACGTATTGGATTGACCAATGGCGAAGAGCGGGCAGTTTGTACGTGCATTCGCTGATTGGTTGGTGTCATAATTCCCAAATTTAAGCTAAGGATTATCCAATCGGTCACGTCACATCGTTGGTGCTTCATTTGTAACCAACGAAGAGTCAAATTAAAATCTTTTGAATGCTCAGGCCCTTTTTTCTGCACTAGATGTGACCTTGAAAATTACCAATTAGTTGATTGTATTTCTTATTCAAATGATGAATGAGTGTTTTAACCTAAAAATACGTCTTTTGAATTAAAACATACCTACAGAACGTAGAAGATGGTCTAAGAATGGGTGTAGTGGACGAATTCAACTGGTGAAAGACGTGAGTTGGATTATAATGCAAGTTTACAAGTTGTCATTCTCTTGATTCAGCACCGCCGCAATTTGAAGATCCCTCGCCTTCAGTTGTCTACGTGCCAGCCGGTGGGGATCTGGACCTTCGATGCACGCTGACCGCCGTCAATGTGAAAACCCCTGTGCACTTTGTTTGGTCCTTCAACTTTCAAGAGATCCCCAATCTTCCGAGTAAGGTGGTGGAGTTACATCTTAGATCCAAGCATTGTCGATTTGAGTGCACCTAACTGCCATCTCATTGTGTTTTAGTCATTGGGTATACGATTTGAGAAGGTCACCGAGACCGTCTAGACAGCCTTAGCAGACGATTTTCTAGACAGACTTATTCGATGCCATTTCCTTTAGAGCACGAACAATTTCCATCAGGCTACTTCCAGCACGTGACAGGTGGTGGCAAACAGGCACAACTGCGGCTCTTCGACTTGGATGAGAGGGACTTTGGAACCTACACCTGCAAGGCCGTCAACGCCTTCGGCAGCACCATCAAAGAGTTTCGTGTGCTTCGAGCTGGTGAGTCCAAATTGTGGTGCAAAACAGAGTCAATCTCTTCATGTGTCGCCCCACTTTGCTGAAATCTGATTGGTGGGAAGATGAGTGGTCACGCTTGAACGTCATTGGATGTGAATTTCACGTCATTTCTGATTGGTTGTGTTGCTTTCTCACCAATGACAGATGCTCCGGTGATCACTGAAGTGCCTCTACCAATCATAACTCTGCCCGTTCACCACACACTCCTGCTGCCTTGTTGGGTTGACGCTGTGCCACCAGCCAAGATCACGTGGACGCGCGACTCAAAACGTCTGACGTCATCCCACCGCACGTGGATTGGTGGAGAGACGAATGGAATGGTTGGCAGCCCCGCCACAACGTCACTTGATTGGTCGGAGGAGGTGGAGTACGGCGAGTTGAGCGTCGATGCCTCGTTGAGGGTGGAGAGGTGCGTTTTCCAAGATGCTGGACTGTACACCATGATTGCTGAGAATCCTGCTGGCCGAGCCCAGACGAGCTGCATTGTTCGAGTTGAGGGTAGGCATCGCATAGTACTGACTTGTTGAAATCCACTCAAACTCTCATTCCACTGTCTTTGCGTCTTTCAGAAACCCTCACTCCACGAACGATAACACCGAGGTGGTCAAATATCGACAAGCACTACTTCGTTCTCCATCAAATTGGAACGTAAGATGTGTTTAAATCTTCACCGGGGTCGATTTCAGTAGCAGAACGGACAGATAACTTTACCTCGTTTGTTTTATGTGTTTCCACAGTGGTTCCTTCAGCCGTGCGCACCTTCTGATCGACAAGAAGACTAATCGAGAGTACGTCGGGAAGGTGTATGCTCTCGACGATGTAATGACTCGCGTCCTGGGTGCTCGCGAATTCGAATGCCTCAACCGACTTCACCACAACAATGTCCTCGAGTTGGTTGACACGGTCATTAGTGACGACCATCTCGTTCTCATTACCGAGAGGTGAGGAGTTGCATTTGGTGTTGCGTTTTTTCACACATGCCCTAACTTGCTCAACAACCAATAGGCATTCTCCTTTGAGTGCTACTCAGTGACCAATAGGCAGTCTTTCTCAAGGTGAATTCATGCAAAGATCGTGGATGCGCCAAACTCGTCTCCATGAAATATCAATGTTCTTTAATGTTTATTTCATCTAGACTGACAGGGAATCATTTGCTCGAAGAGGTGCTTCTGGGACACACGTGGACGGAGGCTGCTGTGGCAATGCTGGTGAAGGAACTGCTTGAAGCCGTAGCACATGTCCACGCTGAAGGGATCGTTCACCTCGACATTCAGGTGAGGTCAACGCCGATGGTGTGGACGTTGATACCGTCTTTAATCATGTGTCTCGTGTAAACGGTCATATGCGTTGATTCCTCAATGTCTTTTCCACAGCCAGACAATGTCATCTTTCCACGTGGAACTTCCTCTCGAAGCGTTGGGTTAGAAGGACTTATGCAAGCCTTAAGCTGTCTGTCAGTGGACACCACGGGTGCTGGAGGTCGCAGCGACCTCGGCGTGGTCTCGTGTTTCGTCAAACTCACCGGATTCTCAATGGCCCAGCCCGTGTTCGATCGGTCAAATCTGCAGCTGGCAAGCATCATGCCTCCGCCCCTGTGGTGTCCCGATTTCGCGGCCCCGGAACTCCTGCGGACCACTACTTCAGTGGAGGACGATGACCACGGATCGGGAGTTGGTGTAGCCGCCGATATCTGGAGCGTTGGAATCATAACTTACCTCCTGTGAGTGTCGTTCGCCATTCTTGGCCTTCCTCTTAGTCTATAATAACCCTGAGTCCATCTTGTGTTGTAGACTCTTTGGAGAACATCCAGTCATCCACAAGTCGGACGACACGCTGAATGTTGAGGATGTCGCTTCCATTGAAGACAGACTGGCTGGAATGACCAATTCCTTAGCTGGCGAAGCGCAAGAGGACGCTTCACCAGAAGCGATCGACTTCCTTCGGCATCTGTTGACCGCGGAACCCACGTACGTCGTGCAGACTTCTCTTTCCACAGTTTCGATCCACTTGGTCCCCATAAGCTAACGAGCCATTTTCGATTCAAATAGCATATTTAGGGTGCAATGAAATTTTCATGTCTTGTATATTTTTTGTTGTGATTCTAGTAAACGTCCATCGGCCACGCAGTGTCTAAGGCATCCATGGTTCACGGAAAGTGGTAAATCAGCTAGAAATCTCGAGAATAGTCTACAAAAACTCAAGGATTACCAGCGGATCTACCAAAAAAGGGTAAGAATGGTGTATGGAGGTTGCAGTTTGTTGTAAAAGATAAGAATCGTGTTATTTTATGCATTCTCCATACACGCGCACACAGAAGTCGATTCCAACGGACAGTTGGCGGCGCGAGTGTTTCCTGAAGTTTGCTGGTGAAGCTTGTGCCCACTCGCTACCGCAACCGGCTGAGCCCAATCGCCGAGCGAGCTCCACGCAGCCGCAGTGGTCGTTGGCGGGCGATGTGGAGAACGTGGACGCTCAGCGATCGGCTCGAGGCTTCAGCATTGATCGCGATTTGACAAACCGCATTTCGACACTAATGGTGCCACCAAAGGATCGTGGAGGTGTTGGAGGATCAGGCGGTTCGTCTCTACGATCGTCGATGTTGCACCTCGACATTACTGAATTGTGAGTTCATGGGCTAGAGCAAGCTGGGACGAGGATGTATTCTAACCACAGCGTCTTTTGATTGCAGTCAAGTGGACCAGTCTCCGATCGAATCTCCCTCGCCGCGACTGGATCCATGGGCGGGACTTCGCGCGACTTCTGACTCCTGTATTCAGCGATCTCGAAGTCCTAGCCTTCTCTCTGCCGACGACTCCTCCGAGCCAATCAAACGCCTCTGCGATAACATCTCCAGGGAGCGGGAGGAGCAGATCCTTCCAGTTCGCAACTGCCTCTGTGAGGGTCAGATCCGTCCAACTTCGAAAATCGGTAGGCGACACGTCCACCGAGGGAGCACTACTTCCTCCTGTAATCGACTATGGTGACAATTTTCACGCTTGTCCATTCCAGCGCCTGCCTTCTCCAATCCCTTGCGCGACAGTCACATTGATCCGCTGAGCAATGCCGTCTTCTTCTCCTGCCAACTTGCTGGAACTCCGAGATTTCCGTCTGTTGACGTCCTCTACCAGCGCAAGAACCGCAACGAAGTCGACGCGCTCGGACTTGCGGATTTCGCGATTGGTGCTCCCAGTGGAGTTGGAAATGTCGCCGCGGCGTGGTACCTCGGTGGCTGTCTGCTGACTGACGGTCCAGGTGTGATGCTGGGCGCCTCGCAAGGCGGGTGGCTGTGGCTGCGGCTGGAAGATGCAGATCGCGTGCAGGCTGGCAAAGTTGTCGAGTGTGTTGTGAGGTCGCGGAACGGAAAAGCGAAAACACAGGCTCGTATCCTTCTGCCAGGCAAGCTATTCCAAGATGCATCAAGTCAGCTTTACTCTAGGGACCTAAACAAACCGATTCTCGGTTTTTTAGAACCTCCGTCTCCGCCTGGTCGTCCAGGAATCCTGCAGTCTGCGTCGAATGAGGTTCTCGTGGCCTGGACCTGTGGAAACGATGACAGTTGCGAGGACTTTGTCTACCGAGTTGATTTGAAGTATCCCGGTATGTAAAACGCGACATCTCAAATTATACGCAACCTTCTACTTGCATACTGTAAGTACGCATGTTTTTAGACGCTAAACCGATTGCATCCGCTTGGCGAACCGTGGGGTATACTGTCGACAGACGATACCTTATCACAGCACTGGAACCAGATCTTGCATACCGCGTTCGAGTCTCCGTGCGCAATGCTGTTGGGTGGAGTGGGTACAGCATTGCCTCGTCCGAATTCCGACTGCATTCTGGTAGGTCAAGCGGGTCATGCGAAAATTTTAAATCTGTGCCTAACTTGATACTCAACCACCTCCTCCACAGGCAATGCTAAGAGCGTAAATCTGCCTGAAGACGAACGTCGATGGATTCTGGACTGGCGACAGGCCTCGCATCCCTTCGGGTTGAGTGACCACCCGGAGGCGCTTGCAGCCAATCGGAAGAGGCTCCCCACAACACCAAGTGATGATGATGATCACTATGATGACCCCTTTGATCGTCCACCGCCTTCTGGTATCGCTGGTGAAATAGCTCGCACTTGTGGACTCTTTCCCCACGCCGAAGCCGTCAAGAGGCTCTGCCAGACAGAAGGCATTGTCGCCAAGTGAGTAGTCGTTGGCCTGTCTCACAATCGGCCCACTTTTCCACACCCTTCTCATCCTTCTCTGTTGCTCTAGGGGCTCCTTCGGGAGCAAAGTGCTTCTACGGTGTCATCCAGCGCTGGTGGAAAGAGGTTACATTCCAGGCATGAAGCAGGAGAGACAGCCCTTCGGTCTTCCGGCGTTCGTGATGGCAGATCTGACGGACGTCATCGATGACGAGGGGCTGGAACGCAGGGCGAGGCAGAAGGCCATCATCCAGACTCTCGTGCACTCCTCCGCGCCAACACGCGCCTCGGACGGCCTTGAGGGGGCTCCGATGTTTAGCCAGCAGTTCAGCATTCGAACGCCTCCCCTCCTACAGGGTCTCTCGCTTGGGTGGCTTGCCAACGACGCTGCCAAACCCACTGCGGGACTCTCCGTCTCCCAGTGGATCTCTGGTGGTCCCCTTATTGACGTGTTGCTTGCTCGAGGCGAATACACCGAGTTCAGCGTTGCTCGATGGACCTGCCAGCTGACGCTTGCTCTCCGCTGGCTACACACAACCTTCCACGGACGTCTACATGGACGCGTCGACTTCGATCACGTCCACGCCGCACGACGATCCTCCACACTGCCCGACCTGGTCTTGACCGGCCTTGAACCTGTCGATGGTTGGGTCTCCCTAAAGGACTGTTTTACTGGTACTAACTGTTGTCTTGACCTCTCAATTGTGGTTGTAGAACCCTATTCTAAAGCTTTTTTTTCGTTTCCTTAGCTCCAGAACTCGATTCTGGCGGAAGATGCAACGCTCTCTCCGACCTTTGGAGTCTTGGAGCATTCGCGTATTTCCTGTGAGTTGTCTTACTTCTAGTACAACACGTGCTTCAAGAAATTCCATCGTTTCAATCGCCAACTTAAAGTCCACAGGTTGCCTCGATGGTCTTAGTCGAAATTGTTCGTAGTTTGCTTTCAATGAAGCCTGTTATTTGAGAAAGCTAGTTCATGAATCAAATTAACAACCCAGGTACCTGGTTAAAAGAGTTCGTTTTACTTGCAGGCTCTTGGCAGAGAGCTTTTACACGACGTCGGCAACGGAGAGAGACGTGTCCCGGACCCCCACACCCACTGGTGACACCGTTGCCGAGCGTGGTCCAAGCAAAAATGAATCGAAAACCCCAATGCCTGGAGGTTACAAACATCTGGACCGCCCTGAAGTCAACTTGAAGGCCATCAAGCAACTGTCCAAGTGGGGCAGACGCTTCGTCTACAATGCGTTGCAGGCGGACCCCATGTGAGTTGACGTAGCCTCGTTCTTGGTCTTGTGTTGACCGACTTTCTTTAATGCGTTTCTGTGTCTCTTGCACTTCAGGAGTCGTGGAACCCTTGATTTCTGGCTGGAAGGTGATTGGTTTAGCCTTCGTCCTGAGATAGTGAAACAACTCTCCGTGAACACGATCCCCTCCAAGTACCTGCGAGTCTTCCAATCAACAGAGACCTCCCACGGAGTGATCCCGCTTCGGCCGGGTGACGCAGACCCCCTTTCGATGGTGTGATACCCCCATTTCGTCGAACCTGCCCCCTCCCTCCCTCCCCCTACTCCTTCCCTCACCGTCTTCCACATTTCGTAGTTCCGCCATGCAGTCTAGGCATGCTTTTCTCCTCCTGCTACGACGGGTAGATTGTGTCTTTCAGCACCTTCGCAAACACCGCCAATCGTGCTCAACGCCGGCATTTCTCCTTCGTCTACCCCGTCTGACGCTCGTCGCTTTGCACATGCCCACACCCACACACGCCAACAATCACACGACATTTCTTGGATCACGGACCTCTTGAGCTTTCAGGCTACTGTACACACTAAAATCGATGTCAGGACTTACTGCAGAACATACCTCACATAGGAGACCGTGCACACTAATACGAATCGTACCTACAACTGACACCGTCATGTATCTTTACGTGAGACACCTCTCAAATACGACGCTGGACACGCAGCAGCTGATTTCGCGCGAGAGTAAACAAATGGAACTTAACCGCGTAAAAACTGGCAAATATTCACTCTTGTGTGTGTGTGTTTAGGTTCTGCGTAAATTGCAACCGGAAATCCTGTTTCACATGTTAGCAATTAAGACGCTGCCGATGTCCACCAATCAGACTTTACGGCCCTCTAACGCAGACGTTCAGAATTTAATGCTTTGCGTCGGATGTCCACTGTGTCGTTAGGGAGCAAATAATACGCTAGGGACAGTCGAATTGCCGAAAACGTGGCTACAATAACAACTCAACAGGCTACGCATCTGATTGGCTAGCACGCTGTTCGCGCCGATCCATGAACCAATCAGATTGTACGTAGGTGCAACATGATCAGATGAGAGGCTGATTTGAATTTTTTAGCTAAAATAAATAAAATGTAATCCCCATGTGGAGAATTGTGGGAATATCAGCCAGATATATCAAATGACAACCCATTCGTCAGTAATCCAGTCACGAATAGCAGAATATCCTTACGTTAATTGTCACGGGATTTTGAGGCAATTGTATAACTCAGGGAAGCTAAACAAATTTTGTTTATCTGGTTTACAAATTCAATTATCTAACATAATCACCATCTCATATACCCAAAAATATTAAAAAAAACAAATAATTAATGCGTCTTGAATGCTTTTTAAATTTGTACAAACTGAAATCGCTACTTAAATTCCGACTCAAATTTTCAAAAGCTAAATACCATGGATAGAAGGTGCATTTCTGCACACAAGAGAAGCAAGATGAGTAAATGGTTGGTTGGATCCTAGGAAATTGCTCGTTTCTTGCTGTTGTGCAGTTGGTAGATGAAAACAATGACACCGATTGTCACAGAGAGAACCATCCCCACAATGAGGATGTAGAAAACCCCCGAGAGATTTATCAGAGCGAGGGGCTCACTGGTTTGCTGCTCTCCTCCCTCCACACATTCGCCCTTCTCAACCCACCACTCCTTGTAGAGTTTGGCGAGCACCTGGTTCTCTCGTAGGCGTAGAATGGCGTCAGTCACGTGCTCCTTGAGGATGCGCATCTCCGGTCTGTTCGAGGGAAGCCCTACAGCGTAGGCCTTACTCCCGAAGGTATTGCCGACCATCATCGTGTCGCATGGCTGGCGGTGATTGATGTACTCGATCATCTTCGACTCCGCAACAAACGCGTAGGGCTTGGTGCGCACGCGTTCGAATCCCGCAGCCATCGTCGGCACGTACACGGACGGGTCACGCTCCATCTTCTGGTAGATGGTCTTAAAGAATGAGCCTTCGGCGTGTGCGAAGAAGTCTTTAGTGGCCCCAGAGTCTAGGGTTCCAATCTGAATGGGCAGATCGTCGCGTTCCGCGAAGTCTTTGATGGAATTTATGGGTGAAATAAGACGCTCAACGGAGAGGGCAGCTGCCAAGTTGGCGGTGTAGTAGGCCATCACAACGAGGCAGACGTAGCGCCAGATGCTAGCAAACACGCGTGCGCCTGGGGAAACGGGAAAGATGTCGATGCCTTGGTGCACAAAAGACGCCACCGAGAACCACATGCAGTTCCCGAGGTTGAAGCCGAGGCTGGGGTCAGCTGGAGAGCGTTCTTTGGGTGAAATGGCCGCTATCAAACGAAGCCCCAGACCAACAACTATTGTAGCTCCAGCCATTCGAAGCCACACCGCGTTTGTTAGAGGCGAGAGAAAGCTAAACATGCCCGGTTTAGTTTTCCCGGGTTTACGGAGCATCAGAGACAAGCCGAAATTCATGAATGGCTCGGAAAAATCGATGAACGTGGCACGAATAATATTCATCGTGAGCGGCGCGATGATCAGATCGGCCTCGTCGCGCAGTACCTCACCAACCATGCCATTCCATTCACCGGTAGCTGGATCAATGGTGCCGAATTTCCCGTCCTTGACGAGGTGGATTTCATAGTTGAGATTAAGTCGCGCGAATATGTGATCGGCAAGGTCTTTGCAGTATCCGACGAAGTTGTGGCGTCCGGATGTGGCCCCAACTACCTCAGGATTCGCGTACATGATGAAGGGTTTGGAGAGCACACTGACTACCCGAAGCGTCCTGTTCTGCAGGCGGAATATCTCGAGCAGGTTGTTGTAATTGACGGATTCGGCGATCTTTTCTTTGAGCGTGGGGAAGACATTGAGATGAAAGAAACCGGGATTGGTGGATTGGGTCGGCAGTACCCAGCTCGAATGCCGACTCCACTTAGCGATAATGCGGTCCGGCAATTTCCCGAATGCCGACGACAGCAACAAGTTGTAGTCAGTTCGTTGACACGTCTGGCGATCAAGCCGAACAAGCCCTGTCTGTCCACTGATGTCAGTTTGCGTTAGCCACGACTTGATCCGATCACCAGGCTGCCAGCGTTGAATCGAAGGCTCCGAGACCAAAGCACCAGAGGAAGTGAAGCAGGTTGACTTGGCATCAGCATCCCTGTTATTCCAGAGACCTCTATCGGTGGCCTTCTTGAGTCCCCATGCGACTTCTAAGGCGTCCATCATAAAGGCGATGTCATGTAAGGGTAGCTTAGAGTCATTCCATCTGGCTGCAAACTTTCGAACCGCATCGTTTTGGTAATCGAGGAAGTGAAAGCCAGTGACATTGACTCCACCGCGTTGGTAGTCGTCCAGCGAAAGCTCAAAAATGTTGAAATCAACCAAGAGGTAGTTGTACTCTGTCCGCATCATCCCCATACGGCTGAGCCACATAAATATCGTCTCTAGACGATCCCTTCCAGATCTCCCTTGATCCATCACAGACCGTCCTATGTCGATTATCACATTCCTCTCGGCCTTCGTCGACAAGAATGTGTCGACAGCTTTGAGAGTCTTGTGAATAACTTCAGGATCCTCGACACCAACATAGCCACTAGTCATGAGGGGCAGAGTGCGATCATTATCGCCTTGGACTTGTTGAGGGGCCACCCTTTGGCTAATGTACTGAAGCCTCTTGAATGCATTTGCCGAACCATAGAGGTACGCAAATGTCTTCCAGTTCCAGGTGACAAGAAAATCAACTAACGCCTGGGTGACATCGGGGCGTACCGAGAACATTTTGCAGTCACGTGGACTGCTAGCCGGTGGTTCAAAACTCAGTGTAATTGCATCCCAAGTTATGTAGGGAAAATTAAATGCACCAGTTAGGGACTCGAACAAGGACGCTGCGCGCAGCGGTAGGCTTCCAACGACAGCTGCACGCTCCACAGCTAACGCACGACAAAATGCGGACAAGATGGAGTACCCTCTGTCCTCGTAGATTCCCTGTATAGCTGGAGCCTCGGTTTCACGCGGAACGCTTCTTCGGATGATGGCAAGGACCCGTTCACGCGTTCCAGTGGTATTCTTGCTCAACGAGGAGTCAAGAATGACGGTAACTCCACGATTGGAGTTCACTGAGGAAAGGACGGGCACCACATGAAGAAGGCACGATAACGCGACCAAATAAGTGAGCGACATTTTGCCGTGTGATTTCAAAAACGCATGGGAGCAGGCTAGCGTCTGCTCACTCGTTTCTGCGTGGTTGTGATTGGTCGCCTAATCCAGTAGCTTACAGCATCGACCGTCTGGCTACTCAAAGTAAGCTTAAAGTTAGCGTAGTTTTTTACCAACTCGAGCTGGCAGTAAATTCGACAAACCATGTGAATTCAACTCCTTCTGGCCAGCATTAAAAATCGCAGGTTTCGCAAATTCGTCAACTCAAATTCGCCGCAAACATTATTTAAGCAGGCCTTTCTACCTTATTTACCGGCACGAAATGTTAAATTGGCAATAAAAATCATTTAGAAATTCAATAAATTAGTTGTATGTTTAAAGCCAAGTTGGGAGTTTGTTTAAATAACTGTCCCGGGGATTTTAAATCGTGCCAAGAAATATCGCAGTGGTGTTATTGGTTTTATTGATTTTTAACAGCAAGACGCAGCGTGCTGCAAACGTTTGCTCGCAATGGTGTCACTGGAATTCGTAGCCTGAAGGATCAACTTCTGCGTCTGCGTGCCGCTCGCTTGATCGTGGCACAGACTAGCTAGTCAAATGACCTTGAGAAGCGAAGGAGCACTGTGCAAATTGAACCGAAATTATCCACACCTGTTTATGATGTGTGTCGCTTATTTGTGGACACCTAATAGGCCCGTTTTGTTTACGGAAGCGTATATAGTCGTCAGAATTTTTATCACTGCAAACCTACCTCCATTGGAACCAGGTGTGTGACCATGCAAACGCTTGAGGATTATAAAATCAGTCCTGTTACGGGCTGCCTCCTTCGTCAACCAGTGAGTTAATTCCAATTTGGACCATCAAATACATTTTCGCCACAAATAAAGCTATTTAAGTTGTGTTGGGTCCATAAGAAGTCCCTGAACCTGGGGTAAAATCTTCAAAAAAATCTATTTGACTAAACTCAAGCTTACGATTTTCGTGATTTAATGAATTACCTTCCCTCTCTCCATAGATTTCTAATTTCGAAACTGGTCAATGACACTTGCTGTGACCTAAATTGGCTATGCTACTGTTTGATGAAAGTTTTGGCTTGACAAAATTGGAAAAAAAATTGCCTAAAATGCTCTTATCAGTCTACCTATTTATTCCGTTAAATTCTGTTTCCAGATAAATTAATTATTGTTGGCTAAGCGTTCACTTTTAAATATCAACTCGGCGCCAACCTAGTGACAGGAAATTAACGAGAGACGCCATTATGATTGATATTTACATGTGCGACTACCGGATATCAAAGCCGACGGTGAATTTAAACAAAAACTAAGATTGTGGTTTAATTGAATCTTTTGGTAATTAGCTTTGCACGTAAATTACTGTCAGTTAAACTTTTATGATTTCAGCCTGTTTCTGTAAATTTATCTTGGCATACACAGAAACAACGAATGGTCATAGTTTGAGATTCTTTTGCAAATTTTTCATCCCGAAATCACACTGACATAGGCACTCAGGCCATAATTGTACTTTGTAGCCGACTCCACCATCATCTCTTCTGCCCTACAAGAAATTGCTTGAACGTTCGTACTCCCTGCTTAAAACCGGAGAACTTCGAGCTGCAGTTCAGGAGGTAAGAGTATGACTGTTTGTCCCTCTTGTTTACCATGCCGATGTTTGAAAAAGAAGCTGCAACCAGCTTGCCTGATTGTGCACGTCTTTCCAGCTTGTTTAAACGCGCTGCCTTTGTTTTACTAGTTACCGACCTTGGATACGTCCCAATTTAAGACACATGAGGAAAAACGCCTGGGTCACAAGATCCTCGCTCTTCTCTCGGCACAGTATGTCTGGCAAGACGGTGACAGAAACCCCGCAGAAGTACGTTCTTATCCGATTGCTGCCTCAAACGTTTTTCCGCCATTTTAACTTCATCTTAAATTGTCTCAAATTAGCCCTAAATTGCGTAAGTTTACACTACTACTTCGTAAATAGGTAACCAACAGGTGGATATTAATCGACAGAAATATCGTCGCAGTAAGTTTTGTTTTAATTGGTCAAAGTCAGAATATTTGCCCTTGAAACTGTGGTCCTAACATCACAGCATGTTTGCGTCATGCTTGAAAAAATCGATTTTATCGATTTACCTGCATCTCCTTCACTCGGAATACATACCCTCAGAATATTGGTTGCACTTCACATGTCATAAACCCAATTTCAGATCTACTTATCAGTGTTGAAGTAAACAAACGCAAACTTACCAAGTTGGCCTCGTAAACAATGCGCTTTACGGAATTTCACTTAGCGAGGAAGGGTGTGGTGCACGATGACGTCATTTTGGTTTCGTTCAAAGTGTGCTTAGTTTTGATTGGATGAAAGTGAAGCAGACATTGAGAATCAAAAAAGAAGCGTTGATTGAAACAGTGTACATGAATCAAACAAAGAGATTGAACGTTTAGTCTCAAAAATACTGCTTGATTTTTACCCATTGTTGTTTAAAATGATAAACGGCGTTAAGTCTGCGAGGATTTATTGAATTCACTAATGGATCTGAACTGATCATGAGATCACAGCTGTTCTATGACCTCTCACCTTCAGATAATAACTTGGCAAATCCATTTTGCAAGACATTTTACTCACAAACATAAGTAAGTAGGTGATTTGTGGAAGTTATAATGGAAAATATTCCCACCCAAGGAGTCCTCTTGAAAATCTATTCACTGATTGGCTCAGAATTGACCTGTGTTTATATAGCTTCTACATTATCGATTTTTGAGAATGAGGTCAAATTTGCTACCGGTGGTATAAGCACTGGCGATCCCACAATGAACCGGAGAGATTTTTTTGCGAATTAATGCTCAGACGAGGGGAAATATCATTTTTTATTGTCCCAAAAATTTTGAATTTCTGCATTTAGATCCTTCCGGCTGTCATAGCAATGCCGCTGATGCAACTGTCAATCGAACTTGGCTGTCAGCCCTTGTTGGGACACATCGACCTCGTTCTCTCAAACTGCTACCCTGAAAAGACCCAGCTCGGACAAAGACAGTTAGTAGTTCCCTGCACATGCACATAGTACTCAAAACTAGCCCAGCAATCTCACCTAGTGATTCTGGTTTGCGTCTTTAATTGATTTCGGCGCGGTGTGTAATGGTGTGCACTGTCCGTGAGCCAATCACATTGCCTCCAGCGTTAAAGGAAATCAATCAGATTAAAGTCCCCGCTAATACCGTCTTTTTTTACAGGTCCTTTTTCACGGAGGCATTCCCTTCCAATGAGATGAATTGGGTTCCTTTCATCGAGAGAACAGCAGACATCGAATTGATGTTCAGTGATGCTGCTAAGGTGAGCAAGTACCTCGCTCAATCTCGTTACCGCTTCAACTTACTTTACAGATCATCATGCACATCATCAGTTCAATAAGGCGGAACAACGTTCCCATGATTGTCCAGTGCCTTGATGAATTGGGCGATGTCATCTCCATCATGCGCGAGATGTTGCTGCTGCTTCTAAGTAAGTCTTCGCTATCTCCATATTGCGTGTAATCCGAATCAGAAAATGATTGATTTTGCTTAGACAAAAACATCAGATCGATGATTTGAGGACATAATTCAGCCCGGGGAGTTAATAGAACCCAATTATATCAAGTAGTGAATTATTGTCGCATCCGCTATGTCAACAAGTTCAAATTGGCGCTCAGTAGATGCATCGATTTATTAAAACAACTTAGTGAATGTCGCAACAGCGACCTCTATTTACTAAAACAAAAATTTGGCTAATCTCAGCTTTGTTCTCTTGTAGAAGAACTTGATCCAAAGGCCTTCTACTGCGATATGCGACCATTTTTGTCAGGGTAAGATGAGAAAAGATATTTTTTGTACGCCATTTCGGAGCAGACTTCAGGAGTAGTTGAATCAGTCAACCACAGCATTTGGGGATCTACAGATACTCACTGGAACTACTTCTAGTAACACTTTTTGAGCATAGTGCAAACTGACTTCACAATTTATGCCGAATGTCAACTCTACCCCCCAGCGTCTTTGGACTTGCCAGTTCATTAATGTCATTGGTCCATCATACTTGATGCAATAGATCATTTTTTGACTGATATGTGTACATGTTCGTCGTTTTCTAACAGTTAGTAGAAGAGTCCTTAATGAGGTTTCTAATTGTTTCCAAGGTGGTCCCACGGACAGGTTTCAAAGGGTCTGGTGTACGAGGGCGTTCCAGATAGCGTTCTAACTGGAGCCGAGGAGGGCTGTCTGGAAGGCAACACCTTGCCCAAGAAGCGCGTCTACCTTGGTGCCAGCGCCGGGCAATCGATAATCTTGCAGGCCTTCGATGCTCTCCTGGGAATCACGCACTACGATGGTGAGGAATGGCGGCCTCTCTCTGTGCCTGAAGTCTGTCTAGGCACCAAAATCATCACCGTGGTTTATTTCTTAAATTCGTCGTGAATTAAATTATTGCAAATAGCCAAAACTCCTAAACGAGAGCGATTTTTGAAGCATATTTTCATTGTGCTTCATGGACGTCGATTTAACCAATCATAAGCATGAAGCGGTTGAAAAACACGTGGATGCGTTTGGGGCGTGACGCCATATAATAAAAAATCGATAAAATCGATTTCGTGCTGAATCAACGTCGAATCACGTGGTGCAGGCTTTGTGTGCACGCCTAAGACCTAAAATCCCAGATTAGGTTTTGGTGCCAAAGTTATTGATTTTAAATCTATTTTTGTGTAAAAAGATGCTTTTATACAAGCTAATGACATTTACTTCCTTAACCTTAGGGACAATTTCTAACCTATCACAAAATGGTGTGGTTTAAATCAACCTGATTGGTTAGTGGGAATCTGAGTGATTGTTTCGACCGTAACCACAGTTCTCTTATTCATTCACCAGATACAGACAAATTCTTCACCACAGCTCGAAACTACATGATCAAGGAGCACCGACGTTTCATTGAAGACCTTCAGAGGCACGTCAAATTGAGGGAATTCGGTAACGATGTGGTTTTAGTGAATTACTAACCTTTGAAATAGTTGTAAGCAGTGATTCATGTGAACTGAAGAAGGCCTACAACACGTGTGTTGAGGAATTGTTGCAATTCAGGCGGGAACACATCAAGATTGTGGAAAAGTAGGTAGTCGATGGAATTTATGATGACCCTTTACCTTTCTTCAAAGATTCATCATCGAACCCTCCTGCAAGTACTCAGCGAATGTGGAGAGTCTGAAGTCAGTGGGAACTGGTGGAACAGGTGTGTTGGCTCATCCGAAAGTTTAAATTGCATTTTACAGCACTCTAAACCTCTTTTTTGCTGAATTTAGTACTAAATAATCTTCACTATATTAAGAAATGCTTCTGCTAGACATTTTTTTGACACCTTGATTTAAAGATTTCGATCTTAACTCTCTGATGATCCGTATGTTGACAACAAGGATTTCAACGTCAATTATTTAGCCAATTAACCCTTACTTTCCACGAGTTTTTAGCACAGAATATGTTGTCAAACAGGCGACATTCCACAGGACAGGTATTCGAAGAATGCATGTCAGCTGTGTGTGATGTAATTAACAAATTATTTATTCAAACAGTAAACAATTTCCTCTTCGTCCTAAATAATGTTCTAGTTGATGCCACAGGGTCTCAGAGTTGTGGATATTTGCACGAAACTTGCCCCTGGTGCACAGGCAGGCCTCACGATGATTGGTTGAATATTCGACACCAATGACGTTTCAGAAATCGAGCAAATGCAGCTACAAAACGAATGCGACGCTGTTTGCGATCTTGAAAAAAAAAACATTTTCTGCAGTTAAAATTTTTTTCTTTAAGATGGTAAAGAGAACTCGTATATGTCTAAATTATTTCTAACTCCTAAGTTGACCTAGTTTTCTGCGACTGAAAGTAACGCGGATGGTGTCTACATGACAGAAATTTGATACACTTGGAACTAAAATCTTTCGGCAGCTTTTAACTTCCTCCTTGCTGGTGTCAATTGCATGTTCCATGTTTTTCAGAGCTAATCCAGTTTTTGGATCGTGTTAACGCGAAAACTGAGGAGGCCCTTCTCCCTACTTGAAATTACGGCTGATTGGAATAAATATTGACCAACCAATCACCGCGTGCCCTTGAACTTGAGAGCAATTTGATTTACTTGTTGGTTTTAAAGCATATTAAACTAGAAAACAGGGCTCAAGTGCCTGCGGCATCTCATTTTCTGGGATAATAAAAGGTTATTACTATCATTCTGCCCTTTAGGGATTTACATACTATCATAGTTGGGGATCGGTCACACGACACAACAATTAACATAGTTGGAACTTAGTACTGTCTAAAGTATTTTATGCAGATCATAGAGACGTGAGATTATGGGGACTCTTAGGATAGATAATATGAATAGGTGGGCAATTTAATCGTTGAATGAGTTGTACGAGGAGTGATGAGCGCATGCCATTTGCATTCAAACAGACTCACTGACTCATTGACGTGCTCCGAAACGATTGGATACGGAGGATGGAGGTGGAGAATATGAAGGCACTATATTTTTTTGACCGCGTTCATTGATGTATTGTGAACTTTTTAAATAACACAGAAGCAGTCAATTCGCCACACAACATCACTGTTGTATGTCTAGATTTAACTGTCTGTGTAGCGGTTTGCTGATTGGTTCTAGGTTTTTCAGCGTAGACTAAGATTTCCAGACAAATCGTTTGCTTTTCTCTAAAAATATGCATTTTATAGGGACTAGAAAGGAGGCAATCATCTTATTTAGTCAATGAGTAGAATATGTAAACCTCATATGGTCTAATTTAGGCACTGTGAACTATATTTTGTGGATTTCCGTGGACCACATGCGAAAGAATAAGTAGCAACCTGATTGCTATGAACAGCTTCTAGACCTTCAAACTTTAAAATATTCAAGAAGATGAATAGCGCTAGTCATTGTGTCTTTTTCGAGTGTATGATCGAATTCGACATCAATTTGTTAGCTTGTCTAACAACTGTTTCTCATGCATATTTATGGGATGAAGTGTGATGTGTGGACAAAGTTAATAGTGCATAAAAATAATTTTATATAAGAACTTCCAATTACCTATTCCAAGTGTGTCCGATATGCTAACGATCATGTTTCGCAGCATGGCATTGTGGTCACAATTAATGGTGCTGTGGTCATATTCAGAGCACGTTTTTGCTATCATACTTGACAAAACCATAGCCGTACCTGATCATCGATGCGTGATGTCAAAATATGTACCAAATCATCCCTACGGGTCAATTTACTTAAGCCTATTATATTCCATTTAAAAGAAGTTCAATAATTATAACCCACGAATTTTGATTTTAGAGATGTTTTTCAATGTTTATAAAATAAAATATTCATTAATTTAGTCATACACGTTTCATTTTAATTTTTACAAAATCTACGATCAGCGGCTCAAGGTATTTAGCTGATATGCAGATTTTATCCTACCAAATTGTCTAAAATCTTTCCGCGACAACTGCTTTCTTCTTTGAGCTGTTGGGCAGATGCAGGGTGTCTAAAAAAAATTCCACTAATATTTTGCTTGTATTGTAGTTTTAAAATATCAAGTATCCAGTATTTGTCCTACAATTAATATTAACACTCGCTAATTTAAGAAGAACATTTCCATGACCATTGCCAGCCCTTCTGGATTTAATTTTACAGGATTATTGTTACTTCAGAAAATGAAATGAACAAATACCGCCTTTTGATTGGTTTAATTTTTCAGCCTGCTACGCGGCTTTTTGGAATCTCTTCTAATTTCTGCCTTTCGTCTAATTGTCGGTGAGCTGATGGAGGCTGACGCCAAACACGACTTCCAAGCAAGTGCCGCGGATGAGCTTCCTTTCTGTAAAAACACGGTTCTAAAGGTGGGTTCCAGAAATGTCTTGATTTTTCTTCTTCAGTATGATTTTCATTATCAGTGTCGATCCAGAAATATTTCAACTCCATTTCAATGCTTGCTTTAACTGCACTTTTCCACTGCTTGTTTTTTACTCTCTATTCAATTTATTTCAATTCTGGAGTTTATGTTTCTGTTGGCTCATTTTAGACGTAAGTCTCAGGGCCTGATAACGGTGTCTAAGTTCACTCATCAGAATTTCACTTGTTTGAAATTCGCCAAGATTGCCCTAGTACTTGTTCAGCGTTATTAATCAGAGAGGTTCTTTCGTATTTGCAGCACTTATAAAATAAATCTCGCCTCTGCTCCTCCCTTCTTCTGGTTTTTGTTTCTGCTCAATTTCCGCATTAATGTAATTTTGGGTGTGTCGAGCCATCACTTTAATAAGAAGTGCTCCGTGTGTGCGCAATAATGCTCAACCAATGAAAGTGTTTTCATATCCAAGAAGTATAATAACTCATTATGCTCTCTTTAATTGAGGCCTCTTTTTACACGCCTGTCTTGACAATGCTAACAATTTGCGGTCACTCGAGTATCCACATCCCCCACACGACTTTGTGATTTCGGTCTTTTTTGTGTTGTAAGTAATCTCGTAAATGTAGTTAGCTCGTGATTTTACTACGATTCGTCTGTGCTTCCTCTATCCTGTTTAATGAGATGTTGCTAAGCGGAGCAATTTTACCTAGTTTTCCAGTCTGCTCCGTTTGTAGTTACAACTTTAGGTTGCTCCCATTTCATAATCGGCATGCTTGTTTATTTCACGATGTCATCACTTCCCATCACTCGACACCAACCATGCTTTCAAATGCTAGTTATCCATTAGGCGTATTCAATGAGTTCAACTAGATGTCCTACCTGGTAGATTCATCCAAAGGGTGAATTCACTCACCCGAAAAAGCAGTTTGTTGGCTAAACAAGTCAAGAAACCCAGTCAAATATTGGGGTTAGTTGGTTTTCGGTCAGGGATGCTTTTCGGACGGTATTATCTCCCGATTTCCTTCCGAAGTAGAGTTTATATGAATTTTAAGACTCAGGTCGTAACCAATTGTTGATTTCATTTGCCTTCAAGTACGCTACCCACAGGGCATTTGCAACCTGCTATCTGCCAGCACTTATTCTTCCCAAATTTCCCGTCAAAAGCTCACTTGTTGCTTTAATCGACCGTGCCTTATATCGTGTGAATCACATTTTTGGATTACTTTAAAAATTGATTTCTGTCTCTCTCACCTCTCTTCAGTGCTTCGTCTTATGTGATTTGCCTGCGTTATCTTTTACCTAAAACTGCGCACTTCGTCGCGTGCACACGGTCGCACCTGTCAGCTTGTAGAGCATGAGAATATTCGCCAATAAATCGTGTGAAAACTCTGGCAGTTGTGGTTACCTTTGTGGTCACGCCATTTCTCCGTTTTGCCAATTTGGTGTGCACGTTTATGTGTGCGTGTGTGTGTGTGTGTGTTCATCCACTGACTGGCCACGTTGATTATATCTGGCGTCCTTTGTTGTTTTCCACGGCCAAAATAATTCCAGTAGTTGCGTGACTTCGTTTCGTTTTTATTCTTCAATGAAGAAAACTTTCCTGCGATACGGTTAAACTTTTACCCGTACCTAGTCACATTGGGAGATCACTTTAAGCCTCAATGATCGATAAACGTGAAAACACCAGCAGAGGGTGACCCCTACTGTCCCATTTGGTTTTTCGAAACAGCTGTTCCTAAACTGTCATAGCGCGAGTCAACAAGACGTGAAAGCTGTTCAAAATCAACGTGAAATGTGTTTCGGGCATGCCCGTTGGTAGTTTTTTGATTCAAGCATTCGCTTCTCTCCCAAACTGAAACTCTCATTGACAACTGGAATGTGTCGCCGCCTTGTTTTTTTTCGTAGCGCAGTTTGCAATTCCCATTACTACACAGGCCTTACTCCGCACTTGTAATAATTAAATTATGCGCCACTAATTACACGCCGAGGTGTACTTTTCGCAGCCCCAGAAAGTGCATAAATGCATTCAGCTTATGCATTCGTTGTGTGGGAGTGACGCGTTGGCATCGTGCGACGTGTTTAGTTAGATCTCAAAAGTACTGCAATTCCCATCAGCCACAAGTATGCGCTTAACCAAGGCTCAAGTGCTTCCGCGGACTTCTGCCATGACAGCCTACGTCGGTCCAACCAGCATCACGAAGTCCTCTAACTCGGGAGATCTCTTTCGTTGAAAATCGGTGCGTTTTTGCCTGCCCAACCAACCACCGTTTCTACGCCACGCGCTGACGCCAGTCACGAGCGAGGCAATGAAATGTGTTTCAGTATTCGCTTGAATTTTCCTTCCCCGTCGGTGAATCATGCGGCCAGGCGCAAATACCCGCGTCAACCCCCCGGACCACATTCTGCTCCGTGACTCGTAGCCATTGCAGACACACACACACACACCTGCTTCATTGGCGTGGTTTTTTCTCAACAGCAGCTGGAACCCGTGTCATTAGGGGTTTTGGTATCTCCAGATTCACCACACATCAGTCTTCAGTTAGTTCCATAGCTATGCGTCAGAACTCCGTAGCCGTCATCCTGCTTTTTTGCAATTCCAATGGATAGAGGCTTTTCTACACGACGAATTTCGGACTTGATTTGTGAAACGCTAGTGTTCCCTCTTCCTGGATCAAACACATTTTCTCCTTGCCGAAATGTCTGCCATCATCGCTCTTTTTTCCAACTATCGTTTTCGGGGAACCCCTTTGACAGTATGATCTAGATGTATTCAGCAAATACGTCATGGAGGCTATTTTCCCCTTCACCGACACGTGGAATTGCGGTGGCTGGTTGGCGTAAGACGTCTGCCGGTTCAAGGAATTATTGCTCTTCCCTACGCCGGCGGACCCAAGCAGTGTAACTTTGTCTTCTTTCGTGACACTGTGACTACTTTTTGGCCTTCTCAACATCAAAATCTCAACTTTTCGCAGCTACCTCTGTTGTTTCAGCGACTTCAGGCGATGCTTTCGTCCTTTTAATACACCTGCTTTTTTTCTAGATCCTGAATGTCGAGGACGACCCGAACTGGTACTTGGCGGAACAGGACGGCCGGACGGGTCTGGTGCCCTGCAACTACATCTCCTTCCGCCCGAACCCCTGGTACATGCAGGCCTGCAGACGAAACACCGCCGAGGAGTGCCTCCTGGAAACGGATCCTCGCACCGGCGCTCCCGTCCAGCCCGACGGCGCCTTCCTCGTCCGACGTTCCGAGTCCAACGGACCTGGCTACAGTCTATCCGTCAAGTAAGTGACTCACGTGCTGTGGTGTGGCGTGGCGTAGCGTAGCGTGTCGATGCATCACTATGAAGTGTGCTGGTAATCTAGGTCTTCAGGCTTGCACTTTATTTTCGTCTTGATGTCGAAACGATCTTCATCACTCCTTCCAGGCACTTGTAGAAAGCTTGACATGACTGCAATTTCCAGGGATCGTTTAAATTACTTCTGTCTTCCCGTTCATTTCCACCGCTGATCGTAAAAGCGCTGACTGCCTAGTTTTTGATGTTACGCAATTTCATTCATTATTTAACATTCAGCACAATTTAGCTGCCTCAGCATTGCTCCTCGTGTCTACTTTTAATGACTTCCGCGTGTCACGATGAAGTCGCTTCACTGGGCCAAAAAGGTGTTGGTCCCACGGGCCGACATTACGGGGAATCGGATTGGTGAGACAGAAATTTACAGCCCATCTTCCTGACTTCTTATTGGCTCATTCTGGCTCCATGACGCCACCTAAATTAACCACCTTCCAGCCTATGCACATATCAGAATTTTGCAGTTGTGGCTTCATTGAGATCCAAACCCATTTTTCTGAAAATGACCGTATTTTGAGGTGATAACCAGCTCTCCGTACACGCGTAGTAACAGTGGTTGTCTTGGTAATAGCCATGGCTTTCGCCTATGTTTCGTGCTATCAAGATTCCAGCAACCTTTTTTTCTCAATCTGGACACATGCCCGCTGTAGGTGGCGGCACGCCGCACTTTGGTGTCAAGTGAAGCCCGTTGCGGAATTCACGCTGAAACTCGTCTCCACGGGAAGTGTCTGTGTTTGCCGTAAAATGCCTAATTGAATTTGGCTGTCTGCTTTCACTCCCTGTCTCATCTACCAAGGCGCGATGCAGTAGTGACGTAGGTGGTGGCGTGTATGGTTTTATTTTCAACAATAAAGCTGACTAACGTTGCGGTCATGACTGAATCAGCGCCCTAATTAAGTGTGTTCGCGCTCAAAGGGGCGCTGCACGTGGTAGTTGGATTTTACATAAATGAAACACCGGCACCAAACCGAAGCGGTCGTGGTGTTGGTGGTTACAACGGTTGTGCGCGTCCTGGACTGCCTTCTTCGAATGCTTACTGGTGGCTGAAAGTGGTGTGCGGAGAAAACATTTTAGGTACCATCGTGATTGTCGTCCTAGGGCCCTTGTGTCGAGTAATCTGGGAAAATTTGTTGGGATTTTATAAAATTCTAAGCAAAATGCTCGCATTTGTTTTGAAACGCAAGCACCTTGGGCCTTTAGTGACTAGATTTACCGATTTATTCAGTAGGTACTGCAGGTTGACGAAGGTCGTGTTGAAACAGGCCTGCTTCGCTCCAGTGCCAATTTGACAAGTCTATGCATTGGCGTGTCAGACCTCGATCATGCTGTGTGGGTGATAGGACACCTAATTTGTACAGACGGTGGTATCGTGTGTTGCAGCTTGGCGACCGTCTTCTACAGTAAACGACAGCATCGTTTGACGCCTCTGGTAGCTACTTTACTCACCCTCAGGGCATTTTGACGCATTTTAGCGTCACATGGCATCAATCAAGGCAGTATTCCGCGAGAGAGAGAGAGAGTTTAAGTGCAGTTGTGAACCAGCTTGAGAGTTAACGCTGCTTCTCAACCCGTAAGCTCACAGCTGCAAGCGCAAAAAATCGGCGGCCAGGGTTGGGTGGGGTCGCGTCGTGGGTACACAGAGTCCATTTGCGTTTACTCACGTACCCCCCCCCACCACCACCACCACCACCACGCGCCTTCATCCACGTTGATAATTGATGTGGCTTGTGCAGACGTCCACTTGAATCATACACGCCTTCAAGAGCGACTGCTGACTTGAATGTCCGATGTCTTCCAGTCCTGTGAGTGGTATTTCACATTCTTCTTTCGTGGTTGTCTGTCGACGTCTTCTTTTCCGTGGTGAAATCGTACCCTCTCTAACAGGGATGGCCTTACAAGACGCATTAATAGCCGGTAGCCGTCCACGCGCCAGGGCAGTGCCGTATGCACGGCTGGGCTGAGTGACTCACTTCACGTGCGTGCGTGGGTGGGTGAGAGGGTGGGCGATTGCCAAAATTCGACGTATTCCTGGAGCTCCTTGCGCGAAGGCTCCGTTGATAGTCACGTTGCCGCCGTTCGTAGACGTTAGTAGTGTCCATGGCTCAAAGCTCAAGCGCCTTCTAACGTTCTTTATTCAAGAGACGGCCAGAAGGTGCTTCACTTCAAAGTGCTGCAGGACGAGTTCGGGAAGTACTTCGTGTGGCTGCGAAAATTCGACTCCGTCAATCAGCTCATCGACTACCACCGACGGACCAGCATTTCCCGCGACCGTCTGCTCCTTCTTGTCGACAGGCAGCCCTCCAAGGTAAGTTCTTCCCCCCCTTCCTCCCCCCAATCAATAAGCCCTCTCCCTCTCTGCCTTACACCAAGCCGCTAAAAATAGCCCAGGCAGTTAGATAACACCCGCAGAACTGCGTTGCGTGCGGGGTCGTGTGAGTACAGCGAGCGATTGCGCTTGCGCACACGAAACCGTCGCCGCGTTGACAACTCGCGCAATTCACTGTGCGTGTTATTGGGGTGTGAAAACAGCCTTTGCACTGCGCCACACGACATCTGATGCGCGGGTAATTGCCGTCTAGTGTCGCTTTCTGCGCTCTATCCACTAGTCACAATTCGGTGAAAGAAGCGAATCAAATGGAGTAGCGGTGATTTTTTTTCAAATCGGCTGAAAAGTTATCTGACGAGATCAGGTTCCCGTCATGTTTGGCACTATCAGCTTTGAATGAATGAGGTTTATCGTTCCCATGGTAACCAAGGCCACTTGGTGATCGTTCTCAGCTCAAATCCGACTCTTTCTTTTCGTAAATTTGTTAAATCGATTGAGGTTATTTCAAGTACCTCCGTCACTTCCTGCAGCTCCCTTGGTTGTCGCCGAATGCCTGAAACTGCGTGCTTGGAAGCCACAAGAGAACAGCCAATATTCCTCGCCTTCGCGAAGTGAAGAAGTGATCTCTAACTAGTATTCGAAGAATCTAACCGATGATCGTGTTCTCAAGTGGTTGGATTTTCACCGACAACGTTACCCGCTGTCGAATTTTTGTGGGTGTTTACAACACACAGCCTCCTCCACTCCTGTGTGTCTAGATTTTTACCAGATGGCGCTATTCTCTTCCTCTCGACTCGATTCTACCGCGGTGGCTCGTGTGCGTGTGTGTGCTTACATGTGGTTTTGAAGAATGATCAAGGACAATTTATTGTGAGGTGGCGGTAGTGTCGGTACCCCGTCCTCCCCTTATTTGTAACACAACAACGGGGGTACCTTCCGTCCCGGGTCATCGAAGGGTGGGCGGCGGGTGTCGATGTGGCTCTCCGTCTTAACCGTTTGATAACTCCGTTTCGGCGTCATGTCTAGTTATTGGACTAGCCCCCAAGGCGCGGAGTTGCCGGACGGAGCAGTTGACAAGCTAATTCGACCCTGATTGGTGGAAGGCAAGCGAACGAATAAAAATGGGACATCCCTTCCTCACGAAAAACGCCCCGACAGCACGCAATCACTAAGCCCTCCCCCCTCCTCGTCTAATTATGCGTACATCCTTGACCACGTTCTCCGTAAGTTAGCTACATTTGCGTGAGTCGTTGGTGGTGGTAGCGCGTAATGTGCTACACGCTCTTCCCATTTGTTCGGGCACTGTTTACATTAACAGGGGTGACCGTGTTACGGCACGCTTTACATTTGGCATTTGGTGAACACCTCGGCGCACACACACCCAATCACGGTTGTCGAAAATGGGCTTATTGGGTTAGTCTTGGAAAGTGATCAAACTTACGGACCAGGCGAAGTGACAGGAGGCTGTCGAAGCAATTTGTCACGTGGCTACGCGCTCCTCAACTGCTCAGAAGCGCATCTGGCGGACTCATCGGACGCGCGCGCGCGCGCACACGCGAATTAATTTGGTGGTGCGTCGCTCTTTTCCCCGCGACAGCGTCTCACGCGATGTCTGCCTCCCTCCAAAGCCGGCGGCGGCGGCAGCAGCGGCATTCATCTTGATTAAACGCCACCTTCCGTCTCCTCAACCCTAGCAGCTGCTTGTGTTTGTGGTTGGTTTCGATGTTGGTGGTAGCTATCTTCTAGTACGTACCCCTTTCCCCGCCGCACCTGCGTCTCACGCGTTGCATTTTTAAGCACTTAGACGTTTTCGACTAGCAGTTGCTGCAAATCCAAATTTTGAATGAAATGCCAGTACTGGAAAAGTATTGTCTTGTGGCGCCAACGCACTTAGCCGTAACAATGATCGTGGTCGGCTTGTCGCCGTTGAAGTGGTGATGTTTTATACGTCAGGCTACATTGAAAGTGAGGCGACAGGTATCAGGAATCGCGAAACCGTCTTTGTCGTGCAGTACAGGTAATGAAATTGTTACGTTTGCCCGTAACCAAGCGAAACTACTCAAATAACGGTACCAGATCCCTTGTTGACGCTAGAACCGACCTTCCGACGCTAATACAAGAACAAGACCAGAGCTCGCGTAGAGAGCTTTAATCATGTCAGCCACGTTCGCGTGGGTCGTCAAAAGTGTACACTAATTCAAGGCAACATTGACCTTGACCGGATAAAAAGCGTAAAAAAACACATGTTAGTGAATTTGTGTAAATAGCTCCTGAAACCAACGACGAGCAATCTTGGGGAATCGTGGATCCCCAACGGAAATGCAAGGGCGTCGACTTCGCGTTTCCACATCAGCACAAACAGCAGTGCAATAACATGGCTAACCTTTGACACTTGAACACACAAGCTCCTTACAACTGACCTTCCATTCGTTCAACCAAAAGCAGCGGGTTTTGGCGGATTCTATCCGTGTAGTCTGTTGCTACATAAGGCGGTGTGAAGACGGCATCATTGTTTACTCATTTGCTTGACGCATGACGCGCCAGTCTGCATGGGTGAACGGAGACCAAGAAGGGGCAAGTGTAAGTATCGGACACCAATCAGCGTAAAGTAAAATTGTTTGGATACGCCTTTACTTATACTGTAGAATGCCCGAGCCCTAGGATGGAGGAATCGGGATTTATTGACAAACAACCGGCTAGAACCGCCTGCCAGCCGCTGTCCATCCGAGTCCCCCTACTGGCTGCATGCTTCGAGGAATCGTTGCTTTTCTCCCGCCCATGTCTCTGATTGGCTGCTCATCTTCCTCGTATGCTATTTAGCCACACATGATTGGTTGAGCTGTTGACGTGATCCAACACGGCTGCAACAGCCTCGACTTTTATCCTGTTGGGGCACCTCTGTGTGTACAGTGAGCGTAAATTGCTTCGGAGTGAGTGACGATCGCGGTAAACGTGGAAGTCTCCAATAGGGGCGGCGCTTTTAGCACAAATGTCCGCGACATTTCCACAGTCAAGCCATGGTGTGCGTGTGTGTGTGTGTTAATGACCGCTACACACGCGTCTCTTGTTTACACAATCGCTAGGCCTACAGTGCACGTGTTCGTCGTCGACGTCGTCGCAGCCGCTGTCGTCGATTGCCAACGCCCCATTGCACTCGCCGCACCCAGCCACTTAATTTCTCGCGTTTTGTGACGCTAAAGCCCCGTTCTTTGTTCTTTTCCTCACACACACACACACACGGTCGCTGAAACCGGCTTCGTGTCTCAGATGGGTGTGATTGAACCCCTTTTTCTCAACCACCGCAGTTGGGTGTGTGTGTGTGTGATTGTAATTTGTCAGTACCCTATTGCCGCTGATTCTTGACAAAGCACCCACATTTCCAGACCTCCGACATCACTGAGCTCGTGTGTTGCTTGGATCATGCAGATTATCATTTTCTGGGTCCTAATTGTCCTGAAAACTCAGTACTTTAGTTAAATGGTGCCTTGGTTGCGTGATTATGGGTTTTGGTTGCTGGATATCGTCGTAACTGTTCACAGTGTCGATGACGTTTTTGGATCTTTTGCGCTTTTTGTCATAGCTGCTTAGCCTGGGAGGAGGCGACCAGCAATCGCACATGGTCCAGCGAGTAATCGCGCGCTTCGACTTCACCGCCTCGGAATCAGAGGAGCTGTCCTTCCACCGAGGCGACGTGATTGAGGTGCTAGGACAGGAGGACGAGAATTGGTGGCGCGGACGCATCTCCAGCACGGGCGCCACTGGTCTCTTCCCCGCCAACTACGTCGACACGCTGCCGCCTATCATGCCAAACGCCGGCCATCGCCCGGTCAATTAACCTCCTCCTCCGCCTCCACCTCCTCCTCCATCTAACCGCCGACACAACTCCGACCTTGTGATGCTGACGATGATTTAGCCGGTGCTGTCATCACATCGCCCACCCTAACCACCACCACCTCTCCTCCTCCCCCGACTTCTCATCCACCTCTTGTCTGTGTGCATGTGTGTGTGTATATACTTTGGCGCGTGAGTCCACCTAATACTCATTTCTTCTCTTAATCCGTTTGATAAGACTTATCCATTGCTCACATTAACACACCGCACCGCGTATAATCATAATTTCAAACAACGCCTTCAGATTTGGCGGTTCTTTGATTTGTGTGTGTGGAATTGGGATAGCGGGTGGTTAATTGAGTCGCGTTGTTCATCGGTGTACGAGAGTTTGAAGTGTGCGTTATTGAGTAGTTGTTTTTGTGAGATACGCCTTTGAGTGCATGGATGTGGCATTTCGGTGAAAAGAGTTGGCAGTGGACACTTGAAACACCCTCACCCTACCAGAACAGGTGGAAATCAATCAGTGCGAACGTGATTGGTCCGTTAGTGTGGATGCAAGCAGTTGGCTGGAGCACCTCGCCTGACCTTGATTTGACCTTCAGGGCGTGACCTTTTGACTTGGGAAATTCTTCGACTAGATAGGCGCTCTTTAGCATCTATCCTCCCCAAAATCGATGTAACTTGAACCTTGCAAGTCATGAATGCTTGTCATTCGCAACCGCACTAGATGTTCACAGATTTTCTCATTACGAATCTTCGCAGACTTGTCGTTGAATTGTGTGAATGCCGTAGCGCAGAAATACTTCCCTCCGTTCTAGCTATCTACTGTCTGGATCTCCAGAAGGTGTCCATAAATTATTCTTCTTCCACCGCAACTCGTACGCGCAAACCGTGGAGCAATAATTTGCTTGAAATAGGCCCTATCTGTGGCCTAATTTGGGCTGGGATAATGTATGAGTGAGTCATCTAAGAGGGAGTTGAGGTGAGACGTTTGAGTGGAATTTGTCAGATCTACGAGTTTTGTGACACATTGGTTGCGTTTGTTTCAGGCCGATTTGATTGGCTACCTGAAGTTTAAATGGGTATTGGGAGAGAAATTATGAAAGCAAAACTGATAGATTCCCGACTTTAGTGGGCATGCCCGTTAATGGCTTGACGGCAGCATGGCTGACCCATATTGCCTCGCAACATTTTATATCACAAATTACTGGAATTCAAGCATCACACTTCAATGAACGCTTGAAAACATTTGACTTCCTGTTCAAGTGCTTCGGAGTGGAATCGCACCGCTATTCAGTCTAATGCAATCTGTGAAGCTGGCTGTTAATCACAGCGTGAGTGATTTTCAGTTCCAGAAACCCACTTCAGTTGGAGTCGGTGATCGTTTGTCAAGGATGTCTTTCTTAAGTTGTGATTCTGACCTAGATTACAGACATATCACATTAGAAGTCACACCCAGTAAGGCGTACACAAATGGACGATTGTTGTCGAACGGTTCTGGCATGCTGTTTAATAATAAGGCCTGCCTTGTTGCACCAGTTTTCCGGACGACTCTGTGTCCAAAGTAGAAAACTGAAGAACTAGCAAGCCTAGTATGTGTCTTTTCACGCCCAAGCTACCAATATTCGATTCCAGGAATCTAGTCCCATCTCCGATCGATCAAAATTAATCGAGCCTCAGTCATTGGTCCCAGAGTTAGAGTGATATTTCTAACCTTCGCTCTAGTATTTAGGCAGGACCCATGTTCCTGGGGAACTCCCAGTTTTCATGCATCAATCATTTAAAAGTAGGTTCAATAAAATTGACCTTGATGGGTTTAATCGAAGTGCTGCGGGCCCCGGTGCGGTGTTGGAAACCACACAAGGGCCGGCGATATACGCTGACACGGTCCGATGAAAGGAACATGAAAAGTGCCGGTGGCGTGTAGCCCAAAGTATTTATTGATGCCGCAGCAGTGTGTGTGTCATGTACAAGAGATCAAGTCAGTTTATGTGGGATCGACTAAACACCTATCCCTGAAGGAACACTGTTGCGCGAAGCGTATTCACGTAAACCAATTGAATCATTTTCGTTCACGCTTTTTACTAGCGTCGGCTCACGGCTGGTAACTGTGCTCGCCCGCCACTCGCCACAGAAGTATCACACCCTCAAAAGTAGTGAGTGGCACACAGAAACCATTTTCATAAAAACGTTACATGCTTCCAAAACATCATAAATCATTACTCGGGGTAATTTTAGGCGATGCACACTGTGTGTTACACAACTTTAACTCTGTTGAATGCTTTTTGTCTGCTTGTTTCATAATTTCACAAACAAAGTACATTACTTGAACAAAATAAGGGAACACAGTTTTATTATTGTACCATAAATCAACCTGAAGTACACAGCATTCATCAAGATATTGTCGAATCAAAATATCCCAAATCAATACATGATAAGCAGTTATGCAGTTGTTATTATATTTAAATGTTATTAAAAAGGATAGACCATTTTAATCAATGCAAAGTCTGCAAAAGCATTCAACGCATAATATATATCACACGCTGTGTAACATGCAAGCGGGACTTGGACCTAGCAATTAAGAAAAACTAGCTAGGGGATAGCACAGAAGTTCTTCCCTCATGTGAGCTTTGGAATACAAGCGAAGGTTTAAGACGTTACACTTCTGGATGGAGTTTATTCGGGATATGATTATAAAATGGGATAACTAGAAATTGTCGATGAAGGAACCTCAAATGTTACAAATATTTAGTTAAATCCATAGGCTATGTTCTGGGCAGGTAAGGCGTATGACATAGTGCATGAGAATAGATACGTTCGAACCAAGCGTAACCGATTTGACATCTATTTATTCAACTTAATTTAAATCTGATTTTTTGGGGAGAGTAATAGACAATTGTCCAATATTGAAGATATGTAGAACATGTAAGGACATTCTTTAACTCAGGTACCTTGGCAGGGAGTATTGGCAATGACAGCAGCAAAGTACCTGGGGGTTACATTGCTTATTTTTTCTAATTTCATTAAAATGAGACCTAAAATATTTAATATCACATATGATCGGTACATAAGAATTTGCTGGAAGGCTTCGTGATGTGTTAACGGGGCTAAATTTAGCGGATCACTTATCAGCAAACTCATTTACTTGAACTAAACAAGGCCACGAAAAATGGCTAAACTTTGAAATTTTAACAAATTGCACTATTTATAAGCAATTCAAGAGGACAAAGCCGGTAGTTAGAGTTTTTAAACCATTAGCCTTATAAATAAGGGTCCGACACCATGAATGCGAAAACATCTACAATCTGCGCAATATAAAATTCCTCTTAAAGTCAAACCCATTCCAGTAACATGTGATAACGCAATAGTACATTATTTCTAGAACGAAAATTAAAAACATGGCAATTTAAAATAACTGAGCAAAGGTAGTGTAATCAAAGAACAATGCGAAGCTCTTGTTTAAACACGTGCTTGTTTCGTATGTGGTTATGTCCCAGCGTCTCCTTTGCGATCTGAGAGTTGCAGATTTGCGCTCAGAGTTAGAAAAGCGCGGTTTAGACAAAAGTGGTGTTAAACAGGCATTGATTGATAGATTGAAAGAGGTATTTCACTTCTTTAAACTTGAACTCCTTAGCATCTCTCAAGTGAGGGGTATGATCCGGCCGTATACGACTTTGTGTCAACTACTCGCATAAAGATCGAGGCTACTGACAAAGACTTAAGCTCTAAGGTAAGTCGTCTTGCTTTTTCAACCAATTCAATTCAGATGGAGGCACCTGGTGACCAATCTACGACTGGTACGTTTTCCTCTCTTTGCCTTTCTATGCTTTTTTAATTGCTTAATGTCAGTTCGACTTTTTATCACCATGTGAAGTTCAGCATATTCACTTTTTTGTTGTAAAATTTGTCTCGTGAGTCTGTCTTAAAAACTGCGGACTGGTATTGGTGCGTTTTCAACGGCGCTGTTTAGTCGCTTGACGGTGCTGGCTTGTGTTAACAAGCTAAGAGGAAGCACATTTGATGTGACGTGCCCATGCGGTTATATGAGCGTTTTCGTAGCAGCTCTTTGTCGCAAAACATGGATCACTACAAGAGCTTGTGGTTGTTCTCTACATACTTTGCCAAAATCGTCAGTAGTCTGTTTTCAATACTACCAATGTGTATACCAAATTTAATTTCCGGCCCTTCGCTTATCAGCTTGGCATGACTCGCCAGTTACACTTTTTGATTGCCAAGGCGGATCTCTGAATCCTCACCGACCCGATTCGCAACTAACGTGCGTGTCTGAGGATTCAATTGGCGCACATGAAGCACCAGAAGACGAAGGCCCTGGAGATGTTGAAAATTCACAGGCAGAAGAGCCACCCACTTTTGTTGTGCGAGTCGGCGAGAATGAGAATGATTTGGACTACGATATTAAGGACGCTAGGTCGCCAACTGCTAATTTGGAGAAAGAGGGTGAAAGCTCAGAGGTGACGAATGGTCTCAAGGACAGGTTGGTCTACCTGGTGGTCGACTGGATCCATTTTAAGTTTTCGATTTACTCGAATTCTTTCCGTTTTAGTGAAGCTAGCACTTCAAAGCAGAAGCTGCTGGATAAACAGGGTGGTAAACCACCGTTAAGCAAAATTTCACCACCGTCAGATCAGGCTAACTTACGTGTGAGCAATCTGGCAATGCCCACAAAAGCGGCTGATCTTAAACAGCACTTTAGTGCTCATGGAAAGGTCATTTCAGCCAAAATTTTGGCAAGTACGAAAACCCCCGGGGGGTGTGTCGGCTTTCTGAAAATGGCCTCTGCCGAAGATGCGGCTAGTTGTATCCTAAACTTAGATGAAACCGAATTTAATGGGAACATCATTAAAATTGAGGCGACTGATAAAGTGCCGACTTCTTCAACTTCAAAAACAACCAAAACGGGAGCAGCCTCAGCCAAAATCAAAAGTGCCCGCACCACGGCGATGCCCGTAGCACGACGTTATCGAAGACTTGGAGGTATGTCTGCCTTCCGTCGTGTGTGAATCACTCCACTTGTTATAGGACAACGGAATGACGTCCGAATTCGTATCACGGAATCAGGTGCCGCTGCTGTTCGTAGAGAACGTCGACAAGTTCCCCACGTAGCGCAACACTACGGCAGGTCTTCCCTCATTGCTTCACGGCTTGCCCGGTCTTTTCAAAGAGCGCGTAATCTTATGCAGACTTTGCCGGCTTCAGCGGCCACTCGTTTGCTACATCGGAGACGACATAATTCTGGTGAAGATGAGGAAAGGGAAATAATGCCGAAAAGGCCACGTTTCAAGCTTGTGAGTGTCTCGTGTTGAACGTCTCAATTGTCGATGGTGATGATTATAACGCAATTTCGGAGGCTTCTGCAGCGTACAATAGATTAGTAATGCAGCGTTGTCTAAGTTACCCAGCTGTTGGGTGCCTTGGTAAATTCACCTGCCCGCAGTCAAGGCTTGCTGAGCACTCCTGTGAGGATAGGCGCTCTAATTGAACGTGGAAGAAATTAACAAATGCAAACACTTTTGCCTGATGAGCTTCACAACCAGTGAATTGGAACAAGTTGAAGTTTTGGAGCGCAAGATTTACATCACTGCGTACATTTTACATCTATGTTTGGTCCTGTCCCAATGCAATATGTTGCTATTATGCGCATTTATTTTTAGCCTGCAATAGGTCAGACGTACTACCGTAAACCCGCTTTGTCTCAAACGGTAGTTAGGAGCACTTATCGGTCACCACGGAAGCAACCAATCGGGTACACTTCGCCAAGGTAAGGGCATTCTTGATTAATTGGTCCGTGATTCAGGGATCGGTCTGCAGCACGCCCGGACGAAGCATATGACCGTTACCGAGTAAACGAACGAACATGTCCCGCTCGATTGCGAAGAGGTGAGGCCTATCCCTCAAAGCGTCCCTCTCCTGGTTCGGATTCGTTCTACCGACGCGAGTCCCCCGTCACCGTTCGCCCACCTCCTAATCGCTTCGGCTCGCCTGACGACGGCCATTGCCCTCGCCGCTACATCAAGCCTGTCGTTTACAAGCGTCCACTACCAGATCGGTTCGAACTAATAAATGATCGTCTAGTTGATGATCGCCGGTCTGGTGGTCCCACGCATCGTCGTAGGCTTCGCTACGATACTAACGGCTCTGGCAGCGCTCCCGGTTACAGACAGCAGCGGGACGATCAACCGAAATCCTCTTACGTCCGAAATTCGCGTCCCCTGGAGTGGGCCGATAGACACTTGCCCAACCAGAAAAGCAACTGGTAGGTGACCAGAATATCGATTTACAGCAAGTTGATGCTATCGTGCCATCGCCTTAAAAAACTGTAACTCCACTTCGGCGTTACTGTTATTGATAAGACCAGAATCAACGGACTAGTCAAGGCCGCGCCGGATTCATAGAAGCATCCTTTTCGAACAAGCAATGAAGTAACTGGCCTGCATTTTTTTTCAAGTAGAAATCAAACAAAGGCACTGCGCAAAGAGAAAGCCGAATAATGCTGTAAAAGCGGCTTGTGTGTTTGGCTCTTCTTTGGTCAGCGGTATGGATCTGATGAAGTTTCGTCCACCAGTTGGTTGAATACTTTCTCATTTCACCGTTTTTCACGTCTCAGTCTATGTGGCTTGTTCCGCTACATTTTAAAATAATGCTGAGTTCACAAAGGAAAAGTGATTATAAACTTGGAAATGATCTCTGGTGGATTTCGCACTAGAGCAAGCAATGTTGGTCGACATTAGGAGAATCGCAAGAAAAGTTTGGCTTCTCGACGTGTGGGCTTGAAAGAATTTTGAAATGCCGAAATTGGGTCGTCTAATGTTGTTTACAGGACGATTACCACTTCCCCAATTCCCGGGCGACGATACTCTGATGGCCGATCGCGGTCTCCGATGTCTCACGTGCCGTCGACGTCGAGGCCGCGCTTCTCGTTTCCGCCTGTGCGATACTACCGCGGGTCCTCGCCCGATGACCCCACTTCGCCTCCCTACCACCGCCGTGCATCGCCTGTCGTGCCTGCCTCGTCATCGGCCCACAGACGTCGCCCAGACTATGTCTCTCCCACTCACTATTCCAACGCAAAATCTGGTCGCTCATCCCTCGCAGAGACCTACTCTCGACGCGGCAGTGGTTTCGGTGAAGAGGGCTACCATTCTTCCTCTCGAACTACACAGAAAACCTCCAGTGTAATTGACTATGGACACAGATCAGGTAGGGACCTGGTGTACTTTATTGCACTGCCCTCTTGTCCCAGTTTACTTCTGCTCCTCTAACTAGCCGAGATTAGATACTGAATCTGTAAACACAATATGGGAAACACGATGTCACACACATAGGCGCGGTAGAGGCATCATCGCGGCGGTAATTCACTTGTTTCGCCGCTTTAGGTACCTCCAAGCCCCCTCCTGCATGGCAATCAGCGCAATCCCAGAACTACGGCACCTCTGGGTTCCCCTATCATGGTCCAGGTGCATCATCGACGCAGTGGCGTTCCGGATACAATTCGCGGCCAGCGCATTATTGACCCCTTCTCGTTTTTTATACTCTAATTTACGAATGCAACTCAGAAAATGCAGATTTTTGCTGTTCGAGCTCGGCGGCTGCACTCCACAATGCTCACTTAGTGAGATTTTCTATTCAATGTAAAGCACCGGGATCGGGTTATCATAAGGCTCCATTTAGTCAAGAAGGCATTAGACAAGGCTAAATGTGGGGTATGCAATAAGCGTTAACAGCGACTGGGAGGGGACTGCAAGGAAGAGATCTAATCGGTGGGGTGGGTCCGCGACTCATGTCCCGTGTATGCTGAACAGGGCAGTCATAGCCCCCGTCGACTAGTTGGGATCCAACACCCTAATTGCTATCATCTAGGTTCGCCCAGTTCCAGGCTTTGTCGACACCAGCCCAGGCGCCAGCAGTCCAAAGGAATCGTTAGCCTCATGTCAATGTTGACGGATGGCCATATCACTGGCGAACTCACTGCGGCTGTTTGATGTTCCGGCGACTTGTTCTGCCCATTGGCGGTCGCTTCAGCTCGTATTCTGCGTCAACGAACTGCAAGTTGATTGGTTCTTCTAATTTTAGCCTTGTCAGCTGGCAGCCTTTGCGAGATATGACGCCACAAGCGAGCACCGACTACTACTGCGATTGGTGCTTCAAATGGCAGTTAGGATTTGCGGGAAGGAAAGAGAAGACCTCACGAGCGGCAAATTCCACGATTTATGGCTCCTGTGACACGGCGATTGCGCATTTCACTCACGTGGTGTGCCATGTCACGTGAGATCACCAAAGTATGCACGACTTCCACGACAGCTGTGACGCTTCTTAATCAATCAAGTCTAGCTGGAGTCTCCAAAACGCTAACAACTGTTGGCAATTGGCACTAAACCCTGCTTTACAGTTCCGATGAACTTCACAATGAAAGCGAGATGCTGACAGCGAAATCGCATACCAATTGCATTAGTGATTTTACGCGCCATACTTTAACACGGGAGAAAGTACGTCCTGTTCAACTAACTTCGCAGCTGCCACTTCGCAAATTGGTTACGCTATGCACAAACTACCCCATTAAGCTAAAAGCCACCCAGGTGTCATCGATGACGACGGTCCACTTGACGAGTGGGAGGTAGAAAAAGACGTTTAAAATAACCACGATCCAACAAGCATGTTCGCAACTCCCGTGTCCAATTACTTGGCAAAAAAGCAGCCGTGTGTTGGGACTGGATTGCCCCTTGAACGGCACAATGTTTCAGAGTCACGGACCACCGATTGCCGAAGCTGGACAGCGCAGCTTTGAAGGAAATGGAGTGGGGACTAAAAACGAAGCGCTTTATTTGAGATGAAGGACAGCGCACCGCTGTGGAGGCTTGTGACGTAAACACACAAACACGAAATATGTATAAGAGGAAGAGGATGGTATTTACACAAACGTACGCGCGCTCACGGATATTATCGCGTTGACGCACTCCGTGGCAAAGTGGTGGACAAAAGGTGCTCACTTCAGTGGGGTGAGGGTCACCATCTCGGTGAGGTCCTCCGACCAACGCCACTGTCGCCACGCGCGCGCCTCTTCCCCAGACCGCTGTATTGACCGGCCAACTCCGGGTGGTGCTTGCGGTACATGCCTCGCGCTGCTTCCCGCGACATCGGAGAAGGCGATTGATGATGGCGGGAGTAACGATGATGTCGAGGTGACTCCAGATAGGACGATCCGCCTCCCGGGTAATCGTAGTCCTCCTCTTCTTCCTCATCGCCCAGCTCCTCGTCGTCGAAATAGCCCTGGTTTGGGGGCGGCGGCGGTGGGTGTGCTGCGTGGTGACCGACCGACCTCCTCTGTTTGCTGGGTGGGGGATTCGGTGGACCGCGCGATTTGTGCGATTTGGGAGTTGGTGCGGGACGTCGCACAACGATGTCGGGTTTCTGCAACTGGCGTGGGTAGAGGGCCCAGATGTCCGCCACATCGTGGATGTAGAGACTGTGGTTTTCCAGCTCCTTGGAGATGTCGGCACCACATTTGTAGAGTTTGGCGTGGTCAAGTTTGTAGGTGAGCCAATCGTCGGCCGGGATGTGTCGAACAGCTGGCCGCTGCAGACGGACCAAGAGATGAATCAAAATTGGCTATAAATCGTAGCGCCGCTAATGCTGGGACTAAAGAAGCAAGATAACCAAACTCACGGGAATAGGCGGTTTCGGGGGCATTTGGGGTTTCTGCATAGGAGTTTGTGACGGACCTGGCTGGCTAATGAGCTGAAAGACACAAACAGCCGGAGTTTTTCTCACTTCATTGAAAAGTAGATAAGCCAGATAAGATTAGATGCGTTGATGAAAAAGCAGGGTGTCAAGGTACAAACAAATAACGCATCGACGGCCTTTCGAGAACATAGGTTGAACTAGTGTTTGTCATGATAAGAAATCTAAATGCAGAATAAAAATCACAAATTGCTTGCGACCAGGATATCGCATATTTTTTACGAAACCAGTAAAACTGATTAGTCTTATTTACCAAAACCAGGCAGATGTCTAGGTTCAAACGGTGAATTTCTAAGGTCAAATCTGTTAAAGAGAGACAATCTTTGCTAATCGGCAAGTGCACGGAAACACACGCAACTTAGACGTGGGGTCAAACACACACTGAGATTGAAAAGGCAAAAACATGGCTAACGCAAACACAGCCTAGTAGACATCACGGGGCATTCCGGTGTCGGAGTAGGTGAAAATGTGTGTGATAGGGTACATGTGGCTTACTGTGGAGGTGATAAGACTCGGAGTACCCCCAGCGGCAACTACGTAGCCACCGCCGACAGCAGCGGGCGAGGGAGCGATGTCGAGGCTCACAGGAGGAACGAGGATGGAGGTTGGCGGCTTGGGCAGGATGGGGACGTACTGCGGTGTGGAACCGACTGTGGCGCCGGACGCTGCTGCATCCGCCGATAACGACGCCGCCGTTGAAGCTGCGGGGTCCGGTGGCAGAGGCTTGCCCGTGAGGGAGGCGCACATCCGGAGGCATTCGCGAAGGACAGGCAGTCGAGTCGAGTGTGGGGTCATCAGAGGCCGAATCCCCACACAGGCAATCTTGAGAACAAACACAACGCTAAACATCACCTACCCTATTGGATGAATAGGTAACAAAGCCACACACTACCTCTTACATTCGTTGGTTCGACATTTTCCCTAATTAGGATGCAGCTAACACGAGAAATACCGTGATTATAAGCGACTACCCACACACTAATTTCACAAAACCTTGACCAATCAAATAGGAGCTCATAGCTCTAGACTAATAATCACAGCGGAACATTACCTTGGGTGTAGAAGTGTTCAGGTTCTGTAGAGGCGAGGTAACAATCTTGGCAAGCTTTCCAGGCGGACTGACCGCAACGAGGCTAGTGTGAGGAGTACCGGAACAGAGGTGAGCGAGATGGTGACCCAGTTGGGAATTAAGCCAAGCAAAGTCGAGAAGGATTACGGAGAAGGGATCAGCTGACTTGGAGGATGACGCATCGCGGACAACAGTCTCCATCTGCTTCACAATGGAATTCACACCGATCACTATGTGCTCCCTATTGAAAAGCAAGCAATGGAGCATAAAAACTCAGAAAGAAATGCAAGAGGTTCTCCCTCCATATGCTTACCAAAATATGTCACGTTCGGCCTTAAGAGGCGGCTGATTTGAGCTTGATTTCTCATTTTTTGCGTATTTTGCAAACAGGCATTCCAAATTGCTAACAACTTTGTTGTCTTCTTTGAGGATAGGAACCCTAGCAACACATTAGCACGAATGAAAATCCTACCCCAAGATAAGCCGCAAAGTGAATGGTTGACAGACATGTTTGGGAGGAGGTGCAGACTTTCCTGCAGACTTTTGTTTATCAGCTAGGGTGACGACTTGGGCACATTCAGTAGCCATTATCTAAATGTAAAAAGGGAGCTAAAATAAAGATTTGTAGTGGACTTCACCACAGTATTAAAATGAGAAAAATGTAACGCCAAAAAGCATAGGATGACTCCTCTCAATAAAGGGGAACTTGAAACAGAATATTAAAACCAGTTAAGTGCAATCTTATAGTAGAAGCTGAGGTCTTTTCGTTTGGTAAAACAGAATAATACATGGACAGCAAGATGAAACTTATTTTTAACCTTTGTCCGGCCACAGAATCAACTAGCTTTAACTTTCAATTCCTGGCACCCATATGTATCAATTTTAGTAGTACTGATTTCCTCGATTTCATTAAGGCCAATCCGCAGTCTCACGTAATGATTCCACCAAAAAAATTACAATCAAGTAAATGACGCCAAAAAGACTTCGTCCCTCCAATCGAAAAAACCAAATTTCGGTACATGCGATGTAGCTGATTAAATGAGCACATCAGAATAATGCTTTACACCTGACAATGACGCGTTCATGCATGAAAATAAATGTCTAACCAAGCTTATCATGTAAGGTCAACACAGCAACGGAATGACGAAAAAACAAAGCTAAATCACAGCTTAAAAAATTGCTTTCGGAGTACAGCCATAGATGCAGCACAATTGCTGAGTTATGCGACTATAAATTAAACACATTAACGAAAGGCAAAATAGCCTACAAGAAGTCAAAGATGAGAAGATTCCGCTGCCAATTGGACCGGAAAAATCGCCTAAATTAACCGCGTGTTGTGAGGCCACCTCATTAAATCACTGGCCAATAACTTAGTGATTCAAAATGACTACATGCGTTACTGTAATTGATAGTTTCTTATAAAATTAATGTGTTTAATTTCCTTAGCTGTTTAATTTTGACATGACTAAGGCAACCTCAAAATTTCCCAACTGTTCAAGATAAATTCCATTGGCATGAAGGTTTTTTAAGTGGTAATGCATGAGATGCTACTATCTCAAAAACAGAATGCTAACAATTTGAATCGCTGTTTTTTGTCGTAATTACGTCCTTCTTCTCAGAGATCCATTTTATTCCTTTTTGAAAATTGGCAGTCTTGAATATATAATTTTTTTATTGCAAATATCCTTCTTAACCTATTTATTGTCAAATAAAATCCTATACTTGCTGCAAAATTTTTGACACGGCAATTATCCATCGTTTTCCCGGATTCATTTATTTATCAAAATTTTGTTATTTCCCGATAATTTGAAACTAATGATATCATTCTCGTCAACATTTTTTAACAATTGAAAACCTTATGTCATTTGTATCAAAGGTAGTCCTCAAAGACGGTTGGTCTCCTTACGACTGTAACAGATACCGGGGATCTTATTGATCTGGACAGTTTCTTATAATACCTGCATTTGTTTGCTTAATTATTAGCTTTAAATCACCTAACACACAGGAGGTAATATATATTAAATAAAATGAATTAAATTTTGCTAATCGAAATTTAAATGAATGTACATTAGCTGAAAGTTCATCATGAATTATTTAGAAAATTTATTGCAGAATATTTGCACATTTTTTCATGGTATAGGAAGCTATATTTACCCATCCTTTTTGTCTTAGAGTATGATCAAATCCTGCATGTCGCGTCATTACTTTCGAAAGATAAATAAAGTAGTGAGTTGATGATTGGCATTGTATCAATAATTTGTGATGTTATACAAAATAATTCGTGACCGTTTTGATCAGTATCAAAATTGGAAAGTGTTTCTTAAAAACTACTTCTTCCCTCTTCGCGTTTTCGTACTGACATTTGACAGTTTTTGTAATGAGGTTACATTTTCGATATCGTTCCTTCAGTTTATCTCAACGGCGTTACGTGTAATTATATACTACTATAATAGTATCAGTAATATATCTTAGGATGATTTTAATCTTTTTCTCGCGTTGAAATGCATTTTTTCAATGATTTCTGTGAACAATATACAATAAGGAAAGCTTGATGGCAACAATTTAGGGTGATAGTCTAATTGCTCCAATTTTTTCAATCAAATATTGAAATGTTCACCTGTTGATAAATAATTGTTACAAATTGTGCATGCATAGTTTCCTTGCAAACAAATATGTAGGATAGATTTCCATCTAGCCAGTCCCTCGAGTTTCTGATCAAAATTCTGCGATCCTAAATGTTTGTTCTTCTGAAAATATCGCAAAATAGTAGGTGCCAAAAACAGGCTGACTGCAAATATTTTTAGTATGCCGTGATCAGCGAGATTTTCGCTTCACACGACCAAGTCCTGTTTGAAATCAGCGTCAAAGTTTATTGTTGTTTAAGAACCGCGAATTTGTCTAATTGAAATAATCCTATTGGTTAGTCATTTTGTAGTTTTCTTGCTCTGAAGGCCATTCAAGTCCTATTTGATTGGGCACAACAGGACTCGAGACAGTAAGCACGCCATTCATTCAAACAGGCGATTTTCTCTGTTGTTTCTGGTTGCTGGTGAACACGGATGCATGGTGCGTGGCTATGCGACACGCGTCATGCCCTGATGGTTTGACTGACATGTCTGCCACCTGGAAATGTTTTTAGTTAAATTTACTTTTACCTAGAACACAAATTTCAAATTTATTTCGAGTTTGGTGTTGTAAATCGTTGCCAAAACGAAATCAATCAATCAACCAATCAATTTTTGGAAAACTGCTCACCGCAATTTCGATTGGTTCCCTACAACTGAATGCATAGAGCCTGAGCCTTTGTGTAAACACATCCAAAATAAGGCTGAAATTGCTTCAACGGGTAATTCAAAAAAAACTAAAGGAGTAAATTCATTCAAACAATAAGTTGTTTATTAAGGAGGTGATGTTTTACGAGACCGCAAAAAATGACTTTATTTGATTGAGTTTTGTGTGTTCATTGGCCAATGAGAGAGTTATTTTACAGGCTACAAGGATCATGACATTGCCAAACAATTTTCTAGAAGTTTTGTCGGAACCGAAATTATTCGCGTTTTAACAACACTGACAAATCTATACAGAATTGCGTAAATCTAGTTTCTGCATGTGAAATTTTGCCATAATCTAGTGTGTGCTTGTTTTAACGTTGTGGTTTTGAGTTAACTAGTTGCGATTGGTTGAAGATTGGCATAATCAATAACTCATCAAAAACCACCATGGTGTTTTAACACATAACAGAATTATCCGCCCTAAGTTTCGAGTGAAAGGCATTTGAAGAACTGACTTCTTTCACGTCAAAAGGCACACAAATCAAGCCCACTTTTTTTTAATTCGCGTTTTAATCTATTAAAAATTCCGCCCCATCGAACCGACAAAGCAGCGCTTTTTGCTTCAATTCCAATCAAGCTCCGAATTCCCACTGAGTTTTGCAGTAGGAATGAATTTGAAATTCGTTTATTCTGCCTCAAAAAGGGAGCGAAATTTAACTCACACATCAGATGAATTCTCACGCTTTTAAAATTTGCCCACCTGCAGCTGTTAAGCACTGTACTTGTGTTGCGATTTGAAAAAGGCAGCCTTGTTCTCCTCCTGCCCATCGGAGACCAGGCGAAATTCCTCTTTTACTCATTTTTGTCTACTTTTGACGGCTACGCACTTACTTTTAATTCAAATTTATGTTTAGGATTAAGAGGGAAACGATGGCTGGTGTCGTAATCCACCCTTGTAGAAATGGAATTAGACGAACAGGTGGTCGTGTTCCCATGACATCGAGTCTTACGACTATTGCATAGCCTGCTTTAGCCATAACCCGATGGCACTTACACATTTGGCCAATCAACGAAGCACCTGCTTGGTGAATCGGTAAAACGGTTAGCTGTTTGAACTGTGATTGGCTCGTGGTATAGGCAGACTCCGCCACAAACGAGGCTAACAAGGGTTCTATAAGGCGGTACATTTCATCAATCCGCTTGACTGCTTCCTTGATTGGTCCGAAATTCTTCTTCCTGACCCCGATTTGAGCCTTTAAAAGGACCTTAACCGTGCTATTTTTGCATTTTCCAGCAAGGGTGACTCTTCGAACCCCGGTACACTTTATTTCACTAAAGCAATTGGCTATTGATGCTTAAACATGCGACCGACTTAGTTGAGTGAACTTGTTGCTTTATTCCAAAAGCTCTGATCCCATTAGCAACCAATTTTAGCATTGTTAATTGGCTGTGAATTCGTTGATCACAAAAGTGATTAACTGATCACTATTCAACAACACGTATTGATTTTTATGCATTAATGTTGGCATCTGGCACGCATAAATAGCCAGAATCAAACCAAATAACAGGCTATCCAAAACCATCAATAATTTTTACCGACATTTCCGCATATTTCTAGTAGTTGTTTGAATTGAATCGGGTTAGTTTGCGGCCCAATTTGTTGATGTCGACTTAAACAAAGCACGATTCAACCAAACTCTTGAGTCCACTAAAACAAAAAGGGCGCAAAATAGACGTCTGGAGGCTTTAATTTTCTAACAAGTAATAAATGCACAAATCCACCGTTAATTGCCATCTAAGCCCTTAATAAAAGATTATAATTAGCCTGTCGCTAAACCCCTTGTTATACCATTAGGTATGGGTAAAAATTTAGTCCAAATGGTTTTGACAAGGATTCGTTTCTGATCGATCATGTACGGCAATTTTTTCCGAAATTCCAAATGAATTGCTCATGAAAAACCGCTGAACTTACCGAAATATTTGAAAAGCATAAAAAGAGGTGAGATTAATTGTAGCAAAAACTATTTTTAAATCATTCCTGTTTACCAGTTTCATAATTTTAGTCCTGTACTTCAAATTAATTTAGCGCAATTTGAGCTATACTATTGCTGTACTCGTAGAACAACCAATCGAATCTCGCGATTACCTGGGACCGTAGCACTAAAGAACGCCTTTTTAAAAAATCGATAATTTTCACCAACGTGAGCCAATGGCTCAGTTTAATGGGAGCAGCTAGTAAAAGACGCTACCCTACAAGATTAGCAGCGAAATGGCAGTTAAATAATTGTGATAAGCATCCTTGACGCCACAAATTCT